TGAAGCCATTCACCCTTGTCCTGCCACTCCAGGCCCTTGTGAGTGGTCTCTCTACACCTTTCTTGTAGCTCCCTTCAGGTACTGGAAGGCCACAGTCACCCCAAAGCCTTTTCTTTTCCAGGCTGAACAAACCCACAAAGCACCACAAGCCACATTATCACCCAGTGTCACTGTGGCTGCAGCATTAATGTGGCCCACAGTGTCTACTCCCAGACCATGGCTTTGCTCATGTTCACCTAAGGAGGCACAGAGCTTTTGGCCTAACACAGCACTCCCACTCCACAGGTGCCATCTCTTCCTTGCAAAGACAACTGGAGATCCAAGAATCTGAGCTTCGGAGATTCAGATACGAGAACGAAATGCTTCAGAAGCAGCTCAGAGAGCGAGAAGAGCAGCTCCAAGCCATGTCTGACAAGGTACAGCCCGAGTGGCCGTGGCTGGCAGGAGAGCTGGCAGCTGGGAATTTGGGATTTACGCAGCAGTTCCCTCTCTCATAGGCAGGAGGGGCACCTGTAACTGTGAAACGAAAGTGTAAAATATTCTGCCTCCAGTTTTGCAGCCTTACAGAGGAACAGAGGAAGGAAGAAGCAATAGTGATGATGGAGGAGGAGAACAACAGCCTTCGACAGGTGAATGTGGTGCAAAGCCACCAGAGAAAATTCTGGTATTTGCTGCTTCACTGGGCTTGTTTGGCATTTAATCCCTCTACTCAATCCAAGTAGTTTTAGAGGAAATGCCAAGTAATAACAGTTAGGGGATACTGGTGAGTTTGTTTGTCCATAGACTCTGCCCAGGAAGTACCAGAAGCATTTGGACCAGATTCTGGGAAGATGAGGCCAAACCTGCTCACTTTCTTCCCCACAGTAACAGCTGGATTTCTGCATCTGCTCAGGTTGTTACAGACCAGGAATCCCAGCTGGCTAAGCAGGAGGAGCAGATCAGTGAGTTAGAGGGGACAATCAGACGGCTCCGGATCGAGGTTGTGACCAGCCGCCGCCACGCCCAGGAGCAGAAACAGGCCCAGGAGGAGACCAAGAGCCAGGTTGAGGCACTGCAGCACAAGGAGGTGCAAACCAAAGTGGCACTGGAACGCATCAGCAGCAAGGTAAACACAGCCTCTTTCACCTCAGAGCCATGCCTTCCTCTTGGGACACACCTGGGAATCGCAGTCCATTTGCTCCCTGGTTGTCCAGCAGGCAGCTCTTATACCACTTACAATGCCAACAGGCCTCAAATACCAGAAGCCCTTGAGAAACTAGAGCTCAGAACAGTCACATCACCAGATTTCTATCATCCTTCCAGACTCAAGGTAACAGGAACCACCTTAAAGCCACTTCCTGCAGGCAGACGTGCCTGATGCCTGGGGAGGGGCCGCAGCCCACCCAGACCCACACCGTGACCACAGCACTTGCAGAGAAACCCAGAACGCCCATAATTTCTCACAAACGCTTTCCATCTCATCACTCACCAGTACTTTGCCCAGGCCTGACAGTGCAGTCTCTGTAAATCCATGAAAATGTCAAGGAATTATATATACAGACTAAATGCACCTGCTTTCCTCTGTTATCCCAAGTTTGACAGGTTAAGAAGCAAAATAATCCAGGCTGCGTTCAGTGTGGAGGGCCAGGACCCCCCCCACGCCGAGCTCACGGAGGAGCAGGTGCTGGAGGCACTGCAGGTATGTGGCTCTTCCAAACTCAGCTTCCAGCAGCCAGGAAGGGACTGCTGAGGTGAGAGAACACTTTGCAGCGCTGCTCTCCACCTCTGCATTCCCACTCCTTGACGTGCCCCTGATTTGCAGAGAATTGCTGACGAGCGGGTGGAGTTCTATCACATGCTGAAGCACAGAGACATCAAGGTGCCCCTGTACTACCCTGGCATGTACAGTTCATCACCTCCCAAGAGGAAGAGTTCTCCCCGAATGGAAAAGCTGCCCTGATGGCTGAGCCAGAAACCACCACCAACTTCAAGCTCTGGGTCCTTGGCTCTGAGCTGGTGACCTACAACAGATTAAACTCATTTTACTGAAATCAAGTTCTGCAGGAGTACCTGATTCAATTGTTTCGGCCGACTCAGAGCACAGGTTGCTGTGAGTCCTTGGTCTGTAGAAACTTGACTTCCCAGGGAAGCCCAAAGCACAAGCTCTGCTTGGCTACAAGCAGCTGGGAAGTGTGAAATTCCAGTTTTTGAAGTGCAAAACAGCTGCTTTGGGAAGTTTTTAAGTGAGGTGACTGAACATTCACCAGTGCCAAAATGAGTGACAGTGCCATGACTGCAAGTACTGTTTTATTTTTCCATTCCATATGCAAGTCCCAGCACAGGGTTGTATTTGACAGAGTATCAGTTCAGTTAGGGCTCCAAGAGTATCATTTTTAACAGAAAAGAGTCTGTCTGGAAGTCACCCTGGCTAAGGGAGAGCTGCAAGTTCACACCAGTGGTCACCTGGGTGTAGAGGTCACCCACAGACTGCCCAACTGAGAACTGCCCCAACTGCCTGTATTTTGGGAAGTGTCCCCAACACTCTCCATGTGGGGTGGAACAGAAAGCCCCAGGAGGGTCACTCTGGCACAAGTGTCTGTATTCTGGGGGGACAGGGAGCTTCAGCAGTGCCAGTGTGAGGCAGCAA